AGACATCCACAAATTTTCCAAAACCAGCGTTCCGCTCGAGACATCCTCAACAAATTATGGAAATTACACTACACCCGCGCTCCCAGGGCCACGATCCCTTGTAAATTACGCTACGTCAGCGCTCCCAGGGCCACGATCCCTCGTAAGGGCTCCTGGGCCCTCCTGGGTCTTCCTTGGACCTCTTGGGCCCTCCTGGGCTCTCCTGGAGCCTCCTGGAGCTTCTCCTGGGCCCTCCTTGAGCCCCCTGGTGCCTCTTCGAGCCTCCTGGGTCCTCCTGGGCCCTCCTGGGCTCTCCTGGAGCCCTCCTGGGCTCTCCTGGGCTCTCCTGGAACCTCCTGGACCCTCCTGGGCGAAGTCAAGGTCCGAAAACACATGGGACTTGCCACATTTCTGAAATTCGGTGCCACCCCTCACGCAGGTCGGCGGGGTCAGGGTCCAAAAACACAAGGGATTTGCCACATTTCTGGAATTCCGCGCCACCCCTCACGCAGATCGGCGGGGTCAGGGTCCAAAAACACAAGGGATTTGCCACATTTCTGGAATTCCGCGCCACCCCTCACGCAGATCGGCGGGGTCAGGGTCCAAAAACACTAGGGATTTGACACATTTCTGGTATTCCGTGCCACACCTCACGCAGATCGGCGGGGTCAGGGTCAAAAAACACATAGGATTTCTGCGATTTCCGAACTTATGCAACCTCAAGAATGCAAAACTCCGTTCCCAGCGCCGTTCCGGAGGCCGCGGTACCTCGTTATTTATCAAGCGAACGCGTTTACCTTGTTTTTTTATAGTTTAAAGTCGATGTCGGAAAAAAGTTGACTTCACATGTGAAATATGGAGGTTTCCTTAAAGGCAGTAAAATTCCAAGAGCACGATCTGCGTGAGGGGTGGCGAAAAATGGCCTTCGTCCTCACAATTGAAATCCGCCGGCCCCCTTCGACCTTGTAATTTATCGCACAAGAATTCCGCCGGCCCCCTTCAAGTCGAAACCGGGGGGTAAACCTACTGAAAGAGAACCCTGGGCCCATGCCCTTTCCGGGAATAAAAAATAAAAACAATACATATATATATATATATATGAAAGAGGAGAAGAAAAAAAAGAAAATTAAAAAAACGGGTTCGTACTTCTGGCGAGGGCCAATCTATGGGAACACATGTAAAAACACACGCGCTCGTGCCTGACCCAAATGTGTCCCGCACCCTGTGATTTATCGATCGGGATTTCAAAAACCAGTGTTTCGCTACGGACATCCTCAACCTCTTGAGTCGCCAACCCCACGCGACCTTGCTATTCATTGCCAAAGAAATTCGCCGGCCTGTCGCAAGTAAACATGATCGACCCACGAACCCGGAAAGGAATATAGAAATGTAAGACATGGCAACGTTTCAAAGACACCTGATTGGGCGACGGGCAAATGCAATGCTTAGTGTATCGACCTTGATGTACCGTGCCGAGGGCTGTGCTGTGCTGTGCCGTGCTGAATTGCGATGTGCCATGCCACGAGTGTGCTCTATAGCGTTGTGGATCGAGTCCTCCTTTGCATCCGAGTCCTGACCGAACTGATCTGGATCTTAAGCTCGAGCTGCCTAAGCACATAACTAGTAGCTGCCCCAGAGTTGATTGACAAGGGAACATGCCAGGAGGACGCGCCGCAGAACGTCCCAAGGGACGCGCCAGGCGACGTGCCAGGGGACGTGCCATGGGGACGCACCGCGGGACGTGCCAAGGGGACGCGCTACGGAATGTGCCAATGGACGTGCCACGGGACGTGCCAGGGGACGCGCCGCGCGACGTGCCAGGGGGACTCGCCACAGGACGCGCCACGGAACGTGCCAAAGAACGTGCCAAGTTGCAATGCTGAGTGAGTGTATCGATCTTGATGTACCGTGCCGCGGGCTGTGCTGTGCTGCGCCGTGCTGAACTGCGATGTGCCACGTGACGATTGTGCTCTATAGCGTTGTGGATCGAGTCCTCCTTTGCATCCGAGTCCTAACCGAACTGATCTGGATCTTAAGCTCGAGCTGCCTGAGCACATAGTAGCTGCCCCAGAGCTAATTCACGGGGGGCATGCTAGGAAGACGCGCCGCCGAAAGTTCCAAGGGACGCGCCAGGCGACGTGCCAGGGGACGTGCCATGGGGACGCACCGCGGGACGTGCCAAGGGGACGCGCTACGGAACGTGCCAATGCATTATGGACGTGCCACGGGACGTGCCAGGGGACGCGCCGCGCGACGTGCCAGGGGGACTCGCCACAGGACGCGCCACGGAACGTGCCAAAGAACGTGCCAAGTTGCAATGCTGAGTGAGTGTACCGATCTTGATGTAATGTGCCGAGGGCTGTGCTGTGCTGCGCCGTGCTGAACTGCGATGTGCCATGCCGCGATTGTGCTCTACAGCGTTGTGGATCAAGTCCTCCGTTGCATCCGAGTCCTGACCGAACTGATCTGGATCTTAAGCTCGAGCTGCCTGAGCACATAGTCCACGAAGTAGCTGCCGCAGAGCTAATTGACAAGGAATTATGCCAGGAAGACGCGCCGCGGAACGTTCCAAGGGACGCGCCAGGCGACGTGCCAGGGGACGTGCCACGGGGACGCACCGCGAGACGTGCCAAGGGGACGCGCTACAGAACGTGCTGGGGACAAGCGTCGTGTTGGTGGCCTGGACACGTAAAAACACGGTGCCAGCTCGGGACAACCATGAGAAATACCCCCTGGGTGGCCCGGACACGTAAAACACGTGGTTCCAGCTCGGGACAATCATGTTAGAGATCTCCCTGGGTGGCCTGAGCATGAAAAAACACGTGGTTCCAGCTCGGGACAGCCATGTTAGATACCCCTCTGCGTGACTTGGATACGCTGAATTCGCGCTCCCGCTCGAGACATCCTCACAACGTCTTCCCTGGAGAGGCCCCCAAAGCGCACCCCCCTGTTCAGAGCAAGAAGCCATCACTTTTCCTCATAATTCGGCGTTGGGCCGACGCCATGTTAGATACCCCAACTCTGCAAAACCAGCGTTTCGCTCGAGACATCCTCAACAAATTCTGAAAAGCAAGCGTTTCGCTCGAGACATCCCCCAACTCTGCAAAACCAGCGTTTCGCTCGAGACATCCTCAACAAATTATGAAAAACAAGCGTTTCGCTCGAGACATCCGATCAAAATCCCAAGAAATCTAAATTCCTACGCGCGGGACGCGGCACGCGCGAGACATCCTCAGAATTCCTGCGCGAGGGGCGCTTTTCCGTGTCGCGGTCGGCTCTGCAAAACCAGCGTTTCGCTCGAGACATCCTCAACAAATTCTGAAACCAAGCGTTTCGCTCGAGACATCCCCAACTCTGCAAAACCAGCATTTCGCTCGAGACATCCTCAACACATTCTGAAAAACAAGCGTCTCGCTCGAGACATCCTCAAACATTACACTACACCCGCGCTCCCAGGGCCACGATCCCTTGTAAATTACGCTACGTCAGCGCTCCCAGGGCCACGATCCCTCGTAAGGGCTCCTGGGCCCTCCTGGGTCTTCCTTGGACCTCTTGGGCCCTCCTGGGCTCTCCTGGAGCCTCCTGGAGCTTTTCCTGGGCCCTCCTTGGGCCCCCTGGTGCCTCTTGGAGCCTCCTGGGTCCTCCTGGGCCCTCCTGGGCTCTCCTGGGCCCTCCTGGGCTCTCCTGGGCTCTCCTGGAGCCTCCTGGGCCCTCCTGGGCGAAGTCAAGGTCCGAAAACACATGGGACTTGCCACATTTCTGAAATTCGGTGCCACCCCTCACGCAGGTCGGCGTGGTCAGGATCCGAAAACACAAAGGATTTGCCACATTTCTGGAATTCCGTGCCACCCCTCACGCAGATCGGCGGGGTCAGGGTCCAAAAACATAGGGGATTTGCCACATTTCTGGAATTCCGCGCCACCCCTCACGCAGATCGGCGGGGTCAGGGTCCAAAAACACAAGGGATTTGACACATTTCTAGTATTCCGGGCCACACCTCACGCAGATCGGCGGGGTCAGGGTCAAAAAACACATGGGATTTCTGCGATTTCCGAACTTATGCAACTTCAAGAATCCAAAACTCCGTTCCCAGCGCCGTTCCGGAGGCCGCGGTACCTCGTTATTTATCGAGCGAACGCGTTTACCTAGTTTTTTTCCGTTTAAAGTCGATGTCGGAAAAAATTGACTTCACCTGTGAAATATCGAGGTTTCCTTAAAGGCAGTAAAATTCCAAGAGCACGATCTGCGTGAGGGGTGGCAGAAAATGGCCTTCGTCCTCACAATTGAAATCCGCCGGCCCCCTTCGACTTCGTAATTTATCGCACAAGAATTCCGCCGGCCCCCTGCAAGTAAAAACCGGGGGTAAACCAACTAAAAGAGAACCCTGGGCCCATGCCCTTTCCGATAAAAACCGGCCCTTTGTTGACCAACTAAAACAAAAACTGGGCCGAAGCCCTGTCTGCGAGGCGGGGATTTAGCCATATCCACCGCCTGGGAACCGACGCCCCGGTGCCCCAGCGGGCGGCGGATATGGATATATATATATATATATATATATATATATATATATATACATACATACACATATACATATACATATACATATACATAAACATATACATATACATATACATATACATATACATACATACATATATTTCGGCCCCCGGGGGCCCGAATATGCCGATATCCACCGCCTGCCGAAGCTCCAAAAACTGACAGTCCAGGCGGTCTTCAACGCTTTTGAGCAACGATGGACTACGGGCGGAGCACGATTCAGTATGTTCTAATCTAAACTCGCTCTAATCGAAACTCGGAAAGATCGGCGCTCACCCGAAACATCCGCTGGTTTCACTAACCGCTCCAAACTACAGGCTGGCCCCATGAAAACCCAACACCCCTCCTCGGCCTTCGGCGCCGCAATTGGCCAGAGGCGGAAGGCGAAAGCCTATGGGGCCAGCGCAAGTCTTTTCATGGCGAGGGCGCTGGCAAACAGCCAGCGCCCTCACAGCCCGCGGCGCCTCACGTTCCCGTCGGCCTTCATCGTGAAACTGATTAATCGCAACAACCGCCCCGTCGTCTCCTGGTCGAGAGTTTTCGTGGACAGGTCTGCTGGAATCCAGTAGCCCTCGATCGTCTTCAGCAACATCTTCTCGTTTTGAACTCGTTCCTGCAACCACAGAAATCGCACGTCTATGCGTCGATCAGCCCCCAGTCCCCGTCTGCTTAAGATACCTCTGGCTGCAGAACTGTCGCTGAAGATCTGCAACTCCGCGTCGTCGCTCGCGCCCGCGCCCAAGTCGCGCAGCATTGCCTTCACTCCAAAACCGTGCCAAGATCCACGCAGTAGCGCATAATACTCCGCCTCTCCGCTGCCGAGGCCCACAGTGGAGTGGACCGCGCTGCCATGCTTCAGCAGATGCGATCCCCATAGCATGGCCATTCCCGATCTCGAACGTCTAGCGGTCGGGCCCCCGGCACAGTCGCTGTCGCAGCACACGCTGCCCCTGCGGTGGAAACAGCAACCGCCCTGCCGGGCACTTCTTCAAGTAGCGGCCGATTCTCTTCAAGTCCTCCGTTTTGTTCTCCTTCGGCTCCTTCATGCGCCTCGCCTGCATACTCGCGGCCGTAGCCGATGTCTGACCTGTCCAGGCTCGGGCACATGATCCTCATGGTCACGCTGCGGTAGGTCTTCACCTTCTCGTCGTCGAGCTTCTGCGATTCACGATCCGTTTTCGGGACGTCCGAAACAGAGAGCCTCACCGCTGGCGCGGTGACCTCCTTCGCGCTCTCCAGACCCAGGTCCCTGATCACCTTCTTGACACGGCGCGCGTCGGCTTCGAGGTAAGCTGACCACTGAATTGGACCCCAGACCGGGACCCGATTGAGGTAGACCACGCTCTGCTCACTCGTCGCCCTGCTGCTCGGCAATCCCGCGACCTTGAAGTCGTGGCGCGACAAGACCTCGTCAAGCCACCCCCCCTGGGACTTCTTCATGATAACGCCGAAACCGTCGCCGTGGACCTCCGCTTGCATTTGACGGTCGGCATGGTAGAGTACCGCTGGGATCGAGATGCCCTTCTGGAAACCGCGTGAGCTCGTCAGGCCTATGTAGTCGTCTTGCCACACATGACTTGCATCAACTGTGCCGTACATCGTCTTGAGCAGCTTGCCCACCATCGGCTCGGGATCCTCGCAGGTCTCCTCCTCGGGTAGCTCCACGTAGACCTCCCGCGCTACGTCGCCGTACAAAAGGCCCTTGAACTGTCGTAGAACTCGTGAATGGTCTCGTCGCGCACGCCCCGGTAGTAATCGTCGTTGGCGCGGCCCACGAAGATCGCGACCATCGCCTCAAACGTCTCCAGCGGCGGCATGGCTGAGAACAACTCGCACTGATCAGGTCGGCATTCAGCCCATGGCCTCCTTGATCTCTCTTGCCACCAGCCTCGATCGACATCGCGGTTGCTGCCTGTGGCCCCTTGTTCACGTCGATCCACTTGAGGGTGGCAGCTTTCGTGCCCTTCTCTAGATCTCCTCCCGAGGTACCTTCTCCCATGCACGCCTCCCGCGACGCCATTCCAACTCCTCCTGCCCCGCAGCCTGGACGCCCTCGTAGTCGAGGGTGTCACCCGCCAGGTCACCCATGAAATACTCGCCCCAGTATTCGGCGAACACCTCTGACTCCTCCTCGCGGGGATGAGGACCTCCACAAAGAGCGGCAAGTGTAGTAAGTCCTTCACGTCGTCCTAGTCCGCGTCGCAAGCCGATGAGAATGGCAGTGGCCAAGTCTGGAGGATACCGCCGAGCGTGCCTAGCTCGCCCATCGACCCGATGCACATGGCGCGATAGTTCCCCGTTCGGACCTCTTGGACATTTACGGTAGCCCTCGAGGATGTTCGCAAGCAACTCGCTGTTGGTGAGCCACCGGGCCCCCTGCCGAACGAAGCCCGGCTTGCCGTCAGGACCGACCGCCTCCATGCGCCAGCGGCACATAGGCCCATGGAGCAAGAACACGTTCTCCATCTTGATAACCTCTTGGACGCCAGGTCGGCAGCGGCTGCTCGCTGACCACGGCGCCTCGCGAAGAAACAGCTCCCCTGCCTTGTAACGCTCCGCAGATCTTCAGACAGAAATTGGGGCGCGCCTCGCCTTCCAAGATCTCCGCCTCCACGACCTTCGGATCACGCTTCGCGTCCGAGAACTTCCGCAGGTTGGTGAATCATGTACACGGTTGGCTGGTTACCGTTAGTAGCGGGTCCTCCTCCCTCAACTGCTCCTCCCAGCCTGTCTCGTCGTCCACCGCCAGGCCAGGTGCGAGGCCGAACCTGAACGCCATCTCAGCAAACCTCCTCGGCGAGGAGACCTCCGCAATGTCGACCGCGCACATCTCCGCGAGTAGGGGCGCGATCTCCTCCGCCTGCCCCATGTCCACCTCGCTGTAGTCGATGCGGGCGAACTCCCTGAGCTCCATGATGACCATCTAGTAGACTGCCACGAACACGCTGTCCTTGTAGGTGCCGTTCACCATCTCCAACTGATTTATGTCCATCGCGGGGTTATGAGCCGGATTCGGCATCGAACTCGATGCTGCTGCCGATGCCGACGATGATGCTGGCGCAGACCCCGTCGCGACTGCTGACGTCATCGGTGTGTCTACCAGCTCCTCCAGGCGCATCTGGGCCTGCTCGATCGGCGCCTCTCCTGAGCCTGGCTCGATCGAGCTCCAGCCTCTCCTCAACGTCTTCAGGCACTGGACTCTCGACGATGGCCCTCGTACTCGAGTGGCTCGTTCTGGCCCAGGTAGAGCAGCTCTGCGCTTGCTGATCGCGCCTGTGGTGCTTCCACCGCCTCCAGCCGACGCTGCCCTTGCTGCAGTCCTCTTCGGCTTCTCGGCGGGAGCTCCCCCTGCTTCGCCCCCTTCGGGCGCTGGCTTTTCTGCCCGCTCCCCTTCGGCGACGGATCTTCGAGCACGTGGCCCAAGTACTTCGTCAGCGTCCTCGGCTCGAAAGTGGCGCACGGTAAGTCGGACCCTGTCCTCTGGGCCCCCCTCATCATCTCTGCGATCCTCTCGCGACACTCCTCGGCGCGCGCTCTCATTGTCTTGCCCCTCTGCATCAGCTCATGACAACCCATGCATCCTGCCGTCGCCCCGTAATTCTCGACATCGCGGCGCAGCACGCATCTTGCTCTCGGCGCTCGTGGCCCCATCCTCGGGGCGGCCACGACAGGCGCCCCAGGGGTGGCGCCTGCCTCCTCTGTAGGGCGCGTAGCCCAGGGTACTCCGCGAAGCAAATCTTTACCGCCTCAGGCCTGCTCCTTCAGCAGCCTCTTGAAACCCTGCGCCTTCTCGACCCCGTCGACCCCCATGACAACAGGTCGCCTTTTCGCATGCGATAGCCCAGGAAGTTCCCAGACTTCACACGCTCCTTCGCGGTACTCCTCCTCCCCGATGGCGCGAGCGGCCTGCACATCACGCGCTCGCCGAACTCCGCCCCCAGCTTCTTCCAGTCTCGACCAGACCGTCGTTGTTCAGCAGTATGTCCGTCAACTCCTCGACGACATCGGCCAAGGCAGGCCGCTGCGCACTGCGGGAGCCACTTGAGGACGGGGTGCGAGCAGTTCACCTCCCTGCCAAGCTTCGCCCCCTAAGCAAACCGGTTGGCCCTCACTTGCCTCTTCACCTCTCGAACTGCAACTTCAACCCCTCCGTTGCTTTGGTGGTCTCCTGGCGGCGACTCTCTCGGCAGGAACTCCACCGCGGGCGCCGCCACTGCGACCGCCGTCTTCAACGCCACGATCGCCGCCCCCCCCCCGCCCCCCCCCCCATCGCTCTGGAAGATCAACCCGCGGTGGCCCAGATGCAAGATGACGCTCATCCAGATCTTGACCATGAAGTTGGTATCCTTCTTGCCTGGGACCGCCGACGAGTAGAGGAGCTTCGTCTTGGAATCTCTGGCGACCAGCATCGGGAAGTTGCCCCCCTGGTCTTCTTCCTCGCCGACATTCTCGCCCATGAACGCGAAGTCGATAGCCACCACCGGGTCTGCCCCTTCTCGTCGGCCCCCTGGCAGCTCACGCCGCTGTCCAAAACCTCTGGCCGCGCAGCAGACTTCGCGCCAATCTCGAAATACAGCATGTCCTGTAGCCTCGTGCTGCTCGACCTCCGCCTTGGTGGGTAGTCTCTTCCTCGTGTGGACGCGAGCCGGCGCGACCTCCTCTGAGTTGCCATCGTAGTCTGCATCCTTCTCGGTCCATTCGGGTTCTTAAGCTTCGCGGGGAGCAAGATCGCGAATCCCCGTCGCTGGCGCTGGTGGTCTCATGGTCGGCCCCGGCGCCAGCGCGCCCGCCGGCTGCGGGGCGCTCGCTGATCCCATGGAACCGTCGCCTGCCAATGAGGGAGGGTCCGCTGACGCGGCTTGCTGATATTCGCGCGCCTGCCCTTCAAGCTCACCTGCTCGCCGCACTCGGACATGCCCTTGATGCTGACGCCTCCTTCGTCCTCCACGATCTCGCCGGTGGCAGTGCGGTAGAAGGTGCCGTCGGGCTCGGCGCGGTCGCCTTCCTGGCCAGGCGGAAACGCTGTGGCCGCCGCGCCTGCGTCGAACGTCATCGCGATGCTCGTCCTGCAGTGCTTGCTGTCGGACTGGGCCTCCACGCTGTTTAGCTCTGCGACCTTATCGAACGCGTCGAAGCTCAAGCTGGCGCTCGGGCCCGCCTGTGACGCCGACGCCGGCATCTGCGCGCTGACCGTGCTGTTCGCCTCCTCGAAGTTGTCGCGGTAGCCTCTGCGAACCCCTCCTCCACCTTGGTTGTTGCAGTGGCCTCCTTTGCCTTTCTTTGGATGTTGCTTTCCTTTGTGTTGGCCATTCTCCTTCGGTCTCCGGCGCTCGGATGCCCGGCGTCCTTTTCGCCCGCAGTTCCAGCGGGTCGCAGTCGAGTCGCCTGCTGCCTTGCCCTTGGGGCCGCGCCCTTGCCCCCGCGTTGCCCTTGCCCTTTCCTTTTGCCGCCCTCGCCCTTCGAGTGCCCCTTGATGAACGCATCCACATCCATCGGATCTCCTCGAGCTCGACCGAGAGCTCCCCGTGCCTGCCGGGTCTCCGGGAAGCTGCGCACCTCCCCCCCCGCGGCCGCACAGTCGTTCAACCGCGCGCGGTTGAGGGCAAGGTGGAGCTCGACGTCCTGCGGAACCAAGCTTTCGAGCGCACTCATCTTGATCTCGTCGTCCAATCGAACGTCTCGGCCGCGTAGTCGCGTCCTCTCGCAACGCCTGATCAGCTCTTCCCAATTCACGATCTCGCCTGCCAGGTTCTCCAGCTTCGCCGCACGGCTGGGCGCCGCGATCTTCTTCAGCAGCACCCCGCGGCGCCCGCCACTCGTCGGATCCCACCGACGCACCAGCATGCGTAGAGCCTCCGCGCCGTTCCCTTGGCCTGCACTCACCACGAGATAGAACGACTCGCCCTCCGTCAGCGAGATGAACAGCGCGTAGAGCTGGGAGAGCGTCTCGCCTACCGCGTCGACTTCCTCGCTGTCGATCGCCTCGTCTACGAACTGGACCACCGCGGCCGCCGTTGTCAAAGCCACCGAATCGTTCGCCTGGTCGACCGCCCACCCGATCAGCGCTTTGAAGCCAACGCCGAAGACGCTGAGCACGTAGCTGTTGAGCTTCTGCAACCACTCGCTGAGGCGGGCTTCCTCGTTCTTGAATATCGGCGGCTTCCCGATGTCCTTCGCCTGGATTAGCTGAGGAACCCGCTGCGCCATCTGCTCTGGTGGGTTCAGCCGATCGACCACCTCGCGAGCCTCCTGATGATCTCAGGTCCACCTGCCTGTTGATTATGTTGTGCTTGCTGACGCAGCTCCGCGCTCTGTCGTTGTAGTTAGATTATACAATGGCCGCCTGCGCCTGCCGAACCGCGTTCTGCATCTCGTCGAATGTCTCTCGATTGAGCGCCATGTCTGATCGCGCGGCGCTTCTCGCCGCTTTTCGTGTTCTTCAAATAGTTCAGGTACTGTCCGAACTGTGCCCAGTAGCCCTTCAGCCTCTTGATACTGATCGCCTTGAGCACAAGCCTCGCCCAGGTTGCGCCCTCCTCGCTAACGAGCTGGAAGCCCTCGGCCAGCGTCGTAGTGCCTCTCTCGTTCGCCGCCTGGCGGGATATCGCGCGCCCGGGCAGGAACTGCGGGGCGCGGGACTGGGAGCTGGAGCTAGTCCAACTCCGCTACCATCTTCAACACTTTTGAGCAACGATGGACTACGGGCGGAGCACGATTCAGTCTGTTCTCATCTAAACGAACCGAGACTCGGAAAGAATCGGCATTCACCCGAAACATCCGCTGGTTTCAGTAACCGCTCTAAACTACAGGCTGGCCCCAAGAAAACCAAACAGGCGGTGGTCATGTATAAATTCCCGCCTCGGACTTTCCAGGAAAAAGGTGCCAACACCGCTGCTCCCCGTAACTCCCCAGAGGTGCGTTCTGCTCAGACCTTCGAGATAATCCAGCCGTGGCGACGAGGTCTCTTGATGAGTATCGCTTAATCGATCCCCATCCCCAGCGGAGTGGCCTGGGCCCCACTGGCCGATTTACCCCCCTAGATGGCGATATATGTCGTTCCCTTCGGGTTTCGAGGGGTGTGTCCCCAACTGGGGTGGTAATTTGGTGGGGGTCTCGAAGGGGATGGGCATGGGGATGGGGATCGTTTAAACGATACTGACTTGAGGACCTGAGGACGAGCAGCGGCATCGGCATCCTCGTCCTCCTCGGAGCACCCGCGGCCCCCCTGCAAGGGGGCACCACCCGCATGGGGCACCGCAGCAGGCCCTCCTCCCGCTGCGGCAACTCCGCGCACAGGCACACCGAGCAGGGCCGGTCGCAGAACGCGCACATGGCGCGAGGCATCCCGCGGGGCGCGGGGGGCGCGAGGCACAGAAGGGAACTGCCGCCTCCAGAGAAGAATCGGGCGAGAGGGCTGTTGCTGTTCCTCCCCTCCCCTCCCCTCGCCCGGGGCTTGCGAGCTGCTGAAACGCCACGGGATGAGGCAACGCTGCCGCCGCCAGCCGGGGGCGCGCAAACATGGATTAGCGATCCATGGATTTGGCGCGCGGTCGACTAATCCATGGATCGGGGAAGGTGCCCTCCCCAAAAAGCGGCCGGTGCCGCCTCGCTCGGCGGCGGAAAAATCTGCGGTTTCCCATGGAAACGGGACCCGTCGCTAATCCGCGGCCCCTTGATCCATGTTTGCGATCGTCTGATCCAGAGAAGAATCGGGCGAGAGGGCTGTTGTTGTTCCCCCCCTCGCCTCCCCTTGCTCGAGGCTTAACTGCTGAAGCAGCACAGGATGAGACAACGCTGCTGCTCTCTCCATTGGCACAAGGAGCAAGCTGCGCTGGTGATTAGCGTCGTGGTGCTACACAAAGCGCCCGCCGGTGGGGCGAGAGGGAAGGGGAGCATACAGTCAACCCGTATAATAAGGACGCATGGTAAGGATGCAAGAGCCTTGGAACGCCATGTCGACACTCTGCGAGCGGGGCGCGGCCAAGGAAGGTGGCCAGGGATGGGCCGAGGAGGCAAGGATGCGAGGGAACCCTTGGGAGGCTTGTCCATCCTCACTGCGCGGATCGACTGCAGGGGAGGCGAGCGCGTGAGATGAGAGCAGACGTGGGGTGCGGGGCGGGGCGAGATGAGAGCAGGCAGGGGGTCCTGCGTCGCTCGGCCCCTCATCTGCGTACCCAGGCCGTCGCCACGTCCCTCCGCCTCCTCTCCCCCGCGCGGCACGCCCAGAGTGAGGGCACGAAGAACGGGGACGACGCCCAACAGCGAGTCTAGCCCAAAAGCCGACAGCGGCCGCTTCGGCGGAACAGGCGTGAAAACACGTGGATCCCTTTCGCCCCGGAGCGGAAAGTGAAAACGCGTGGGTCCCTTTCGCGCCAGAGCGGAAGAAAAAGAAAACAGGCGTTTCGCTCGAGAGGTTCTCAACACCTCCTCATGCTAGACCTCCGCCTGGGCGACCTGGACACGTGAAACCAGGCGTCTCGCTCAAGGCATCCTCAACACATCCTCATTCTAGACATCTGCCTGGGCGACCTGGACGCGTGAAAACAAGCGTCTCGCTCGAGAATCCTCAAAACCTGGGCACGTGAAAACAAGCATTTCACCGGAGAGATCCTCTGAATTCGAGTCCCATGGAGAGGAACGATCTATAAAGCAAAACAAGCGATTCGCTCGAGCCATCCTCAACAAATTCTGCAAAACAAGCGTTTCGCTCGAGACATCCGCAACAAACGAAAATATATACTGCACCATGTGTTTCATCGAGCGGAAGTTCAAAAAATAGCGTTTCGCTCAGGACATCCTCAACTTTTTCATTCGCTGGCCCTACACGACTTGGTTACTTATCGCAAGGTAAATTCGCCGCCCCATACGCAAGTCGAGGCCCAGAACTTGGTTTACCAACTGTAAAAGAACCCTGGGCCTCTGGACTTTCCCGGAAAAATGCTCCGAGGAGCTCGCCTGAAGGCGGAGGCGGTTCCACGAACACCGGCGTAACGACCACGAGGGAGAGCCAAAGGAGTGCAAGTAGTTATCGGCTTCTTCCCAGGCGACCCACTTCGTGAGCGCGGTGCCCAGCCCGAAGCCCGCCCCAGTGGGAGGACGGCATGGCCCCGCCTCTGCAGCCGATGGATCCCTTTTGCTTATTGCTTGTTCGGCGCACTTTTGAAACGGAGGGGAGGCAGCATGATCGATCCACTAAACCGGGAAGGGATATAGAAAAGTAAAGCATGGAGACGCTTCAAGAGGTCAAACTTGGGCGATGGGCCATTGCTATGCTCAAGGCAGCGATGGTGACGTACCGTGCCAGGGGCTGTGCTTTGCTGTGCTGCGAAGAACTGAAATTCGCCATGCCGCGTTGACATGTGCTATGCTGTATTGCATTGTGGAGCAAGTCGTCCTTGGGATCAGAATCCTGACCAAACAGATCTGGAGATTAAGCTCGAGTTACCTGAACACATATCTCGAGCTGCTTGCAATCGAACAGCGCGGGGCGCTCGATCAACTCGAGCTCAAGATCTGATTCGCTTCCGTAACGGGACGAGCCAAGAGGGATCCGTGCCAAAACAGACGAGAAATGCACCGAGAATGGACGGACCGAAGCACGGCGAACCAAGATGCGACGAACTTCATCGTGACGAACCGAAACGATACGAAGGCCTAACCGACCCGACTCGAAGCGAGACAATACAAACTGACCATCCTGAAACGACATGGCGTCTCCTGACGAGGGAGCCCCACTCCGAGGTGCCTAACCAGGGCAGCGATTTGGCGTAAATTGCGAGTGATACGAGCTGTGCTGCACTGTGCTGCGTCATGCTGTGTTGAACTGTTATGTTCTCTGTTGCGTTGTGGATCAAGGACTCCTTGGCACCCCAATCCTGCCCGATTTGACTTGGGTGTTAAGCTCAAGGTGTCTACGCGCATGGTTCGCCGAGAGGTGGCTGCAGTCGAAACGTGTGGGGCGGTCAACCAGCTCGAGCTCAGGATCCGATTAAGTTACGAAGTGGGACGAACCGACCGAGGGCGAATCCGACCCGAAACGAAACGCACCCAGACGACGACGAGGCCCCCGCACGACACCTCCTGAAGCAATGCAAAACCAGCGTTTCGCGAGAGGCATCCTCAACACATCCTGCAGAGGGAGGCTTTCGCTGCAGGCGAGGCCCTCGCTCGAGACATCCTCAACAAATCCTGCAGAACGAGCGCTTCGCTCTAGACATCACCAAAAACATGATCATGTTAGTGATTCGCCTGGGCGACCTGGACGCGTGAAAACCAAAGTTTCGCTCGAGACATCCTCAACACATTCTCATGTTAGAGATCCGCCTGGGCGACCTGGAACAAGCGTGACAACACATGGGCCCCTTTCGACCCATATCGGAGCAAGCGAGAAAGCACGTGTGTCCCTTGCGCCCCAGAGCGGAACAAGCGTGAAAAACACATGAGCCCTTTCGCCCCAGAGCGGGACAAGCGTGAAAACACGTAGGTCACTTTCGCTGCAGGAGGGCTCCCCAGGAGGCCACAGGATGCCTCCCCCGGGTTCCAGGACGGAACGTGTCAAGTTAGTATACATATGGTGTCGATTCGTTAAGTTGCTCTGGCTCTTGTGACCCCCATCTCTTTGGGGCCAGACGACCAAATGCCCCAGCTCGGAACAAGCGTGAAAACACGAGGGTCCCGCTCGCGCCAGAACGGGGCACAAGTGAAAACACGTGGGTCATGTCCGTCCCAGAGCGGAACAAGCGGGAAAACACGTGGGTCCCGTTCGCGCCAGAGCGGAACAAGCGTGAAAACACGTGGGTCCTTTTCGCCCCAGAGCGGAACAAGCGCGAAAGCACGTGGGTCCCTTTCGCAGCAGGAGGCCTCCCCGGGAGGCTGCATGAAGCCTCCCCAGGGCCCCAGGACGGAACGTGTCAAGTCATTGATGGTTCTGGTGACCCCCCCCACTCCGTGGGGCCAGACGACCATGTGTTAGATATCCCCCCCCCCTGGTTGGCCTGGACACGTGAAAAAACGTGGGTCTCTTTCGCCCCAAAGCGGAACAAGCGTGAAAGCACGTGTCCCTTTCGCGCCCAAATCCTCATGCTAGACATCTGCCTGTGCGGGATGGACGCGTGAAAACAAGCGTCTCGCTCGAGAATCCTCAAGACCTGGGCAAGTCAAAATAAGCAATTCACTGGAAAGATCCTGCGACTTCTAGTCCACAGGAGAGGAGCAAAGTGTAGCACCAAACACGCGTTTCGTTTGAGCCATCCTTAACAAATTCTGCAAACATGCGTTTCGCTCGAGACATCCGCAACACACGAAAACGTGTTCTGAACCATGCGTTTCATCGATCGGAATTACCAAATCAGCGTTTCGCTCGGGGCATCCTCAACCGTTAATTCGCAAGATAATTTCGCTCGGGCCCTACGCGACCTGGCTGTTCATCGCAAGATAATTTCGCCAACCATACGCAAATCGAGGCCCAGCACTTGCTTTATCACTGAAAGAGAACCCTGGGCCTCTGCCCTTTCCGGGAAAAAGGCGAAGGCCCCACAATCCGCACGCCGATCCACTCGTCAGTCACACTTCCCAAGGCGGGAACATGGAGCGGGAAGCGGAGCGAAGCCCGTGGAGCCATCCGTGACACGAAGCGGCGCAGACTAGAGGATGCGGGTGGGACGACCGCGAGACCCGAGGAAGGAGGGCAGAGGCATGGGAGAGAAGTGGCCGGGAGAAGCATGCAGGAGCAACGCCGACGCAAGAATGAAGAGGAGGGAGCAGTAGGAACCTATAGATTGAAGCCGCCCCGTCGCGTGTGAGGAACGGGGAGGCCTGATGGTACCAGAAAGGAGTTAGAAGGGAGAAGTCGGGGGATCCAGAGCCATCAGGAGGCAACGAGAAAACGGCAAGAAGAGGTCAGCGCAGAGTTTGACAATTTTTGCCCCCTGCACTCAGCGGTCTAGGAAGGAGGAACTCGCCTGGTCTTGAAGGCCAGCAACAAAATCCTACGATCTTGACGTCGCCGGACTACGCGCTGACAGCGAAGACGGGCCCTACCTCTACATGCGCCTGGCGCCCAGCACGATCGCGCCACTCCACCATCTTGTCTCACCGTGCCGCATGAGCTCCTCCTCCCACCCTGACACCTTGCACACCACGTCGCGTTACCTCACGAGTTCGCAACATCTGCCACGGTACGCACTCGCGTCGGCAAGAGGAAGATATGGTAAAGACAATGGAAGGGAGGCAGGGAGGGGAGGAGGGGGAGGGAGGGAGGGAGGGAGGAAGGGAAGGGGGGGGGGAGGGACAAGAGACAACGGGGGGAGGGAGGGAGGGAGGGAAGGGAGGAAGGGAGGGAAGGGGGGGAGGAAGGGAGGGGGGCAAGGGGAGGAAGGGAGGGCAAGGGGGGAGGGAGGGGAGGGGGGGGGAAGGAGGGAGGGGGGAAACATGGCAGAGACAAGCGGGAAGGGGGGGGCAGGGAGGGCAAGGACGGGGGAGGGAGAGGGATGAAACTCGGAGGGAGCAGCGGGGGACGCGGAACTGGAGAAGATAAAAAAAGAAGGACGGCGACGGAGCGAGGGAGCGCGCTGCCCTGGACCGCTGCAGAAGACTGCGCAGAAGCTGACGAGGGAGAACGAGCAATGGCCACACTGTGGCAAGAGGACGCTGTTGGAGGCCTGGAAATTGGGACCAACACCAGCACAGGGGGCTGCCTCCACAGGGGGAAGACGATCCTAGATTTCGGTGTTGGTAGTAATGTTTCGGTCACCGTGGAAGCTAGAAGATTACCACCATCACCGAGATCGGGATCGTCTTCCCTCGGTGGAGGCACACCGCCGATCTTGGTGTTTGTGTCAACCTCTAGGCGTCGCAGAGCATGCCGTTGCACACGCCTGACACTGCGCAGGACCATTCTGAATTGTTCCGAGTTGTGCTCGCCTCAACCTTGTTTCCAACTCCTCCGGGAGCACCCGCGCAACGCTTCCTTGCAGTGGCGTTGCAAACACACTATGCTGTCGAAGAGGCGTAGACGTCAGTTCAAAGGGCACGCATTCCATATTAAGCATGCCGTTTGGTGCATACAGCAGTTCCAAGGCATGCCAATTATAGTATCGAACTCTGCGTTGTGCGGATGACCAACACAAAGCTAGATCTCAAAATCCTCATTTTTTCAAAAAGCACAATGTCTATGGTAATGTCCCCAACTAGACGCGGGTTGGCCGCTCTCCCTCGTCGCACTGCTGCAAATTTAGACCCTCCAGGTGAATTCCCAAACCGCGATGCGAAGCTACTGCGCGCACATCCGACAGCATGAGTTTGATATGGTAATGCACTGCACGGATAAGCATTACATCGCCCGCAAAGCGCTGGTCTGTCAACGTCTACCCAGGTGTCACCCCCAACTGTAGTATCATGTCCTTTTCAACCATCCGTCTTTCACATCGCGGAACACACCCTCCAAGACAGCGATGAACAAGAGCGTGCTGAGGAGGTCGCCCTGCTTCGTCCCACGCAAGATCTTACACAGCTCACCCACTGCAGGTGTGCGCACAAGGCCATCTGACAGAAAGAATGATGGGGAAGGGATACGGAAACAACTCTCGACCTTCTGACAGACCCTTCCCGTTCCTTCTCCCACCATGCGCTCCTGCACCCTCACCCCCCCCTCTTCCGTCCTCGACTCCCCCCCTTCCTCCCCCCCCCCACTCCTTCTGGGCAACGCGACTGTTTCGGAAAAGAACCTCGTCCGGAGGGGACTGCCGCCGGGAGCTCGGCATCACGACCGCCCGCCGCGCCGGCGTCACCTGGTGCTGGCCTGGCAAGGTGGCAGCATGGCGCGGCCAGCGGCCAACCAAGACTGTGATGAGATGCTGCTACACAGAGAAACCTATAGTCAGACACCCGCCGACGAATTTGATATGTTCGGCACGAACGACATGGGTACGGAATGGATGGGTACAAAGCCCAAAATCAGTTCCCGTTCATTTTGAGCAAGACTCGCTGTCCGCGCCGCCGCGGCCTGTGCCCATTTGAAACAGAAGGCCGCCTGCCCAACAGCGGCCTTTGTTGGTTTGGGACAACATTTGTTGTCGGACATTGGGCCCATTGTTTCCGTACCCATTTCGAGCGTCCAAATATGCGTCTTCATGCAAAGCGGCAGTGTGCAAGGTCGACAGCGCTCAGCGATGACTTCATACACCCCCAACCTCCCCTGAAGGTCACGAACTATCCACGGAAGGGGGATGTGTACATATTACTGTGACGGATCTGCGCGCGCGCTTCCAACGAAAACGTGCTCAACTTCGTTCGAAAGAGACCCTCTAATTGTCGCTGAATTCGCTTTGGGTTCCAGATGGAACCTGTACGACCACAGGCAGCATTGGGGACATGATTTATGAGAGAACTGCCACGGGTTCCGACAGAGACGAATGATCCGCATTCAAATCTCACGTTGTGCGGCAGAGCATACCATAGAAGTGGAATTCCCGCGGGGGGGCACGGAAGGCGATGCTCGAGGGCCCTCTTCGCTCACCCTCCTTAGGGTCGGCACGAGCAGGGGAATTAATTTAGGTACGAATGCCACAATGAGGCTGCCCTGTGATACACATGGGTGGCCGGGGCACCATGCATGCTTACCACGACTGCGACGCATGCTGGGCTTCGACCGGGGGCACTATGGGAAGGCCGCGATGGCAATGATTTCAAGAACCCACAGCGGTGGATTTGGCACTGGAAAAACTGTTCGGGCAATCCCGTCAATGCCTCATAATCGAAATAAATCAGCCAGGACCCCGGCACCGTGCAAGATCCAATCAAATACATGAAATGGCCGCCTGCCCTCCCTGCGCTCCCTGTCCCGCGTCACGAAAACTGTCCCTGAAACTGAAGCTCGACTGGAAACAACCGCTGGTAAGAAATGCGAAAAGGATATGGTAAGCCATACTATATGTTACGCCTTGAGCGTAGCAAAGTACCGCATGACTTATCCATGCAATGGCTATGAGCGGGTAGACGACATATAGGACATGGGAATAGACGGTGCATCGTCGAAAGATGTGGATTTTTTCTTCCCGCTATTCGGATACAATAGCGCCAGCAATCTAGGGCAGTCACATAGAACGACGTCGCTTGAGCCCAAGCGGCGTCGGGACGCAGGCGCGTCGCTCGCATCTCGCTTGTGACCTTCGTACAAAATCAGAAGGGGGGAGTCGAGCGACGGCCCGCGTCAATCTAATCTACACTGCATCTGAAATGCGGCAACAGCGATGAAGAAAAGGCAGCGCAGCCTTGCGCGTTGGCAGAAACGCTGCCAACATATGAATACTTACTGCTGCAAAAGAGGCCTGCCGTGGAAACCATGTCATTCGGCTGGAGCAGCAGCACGCACAGAGGGGGCACACCCACCGGTCCAACCGAGCAGCGGGCCCACCTGCATAACAGAAAACATGGGTATCCAAGAGATCTTCGGACACCGGACACCAAAATTCGCAATGCGATAAGGTTGAACCCCATGAGTGGGCAACGGCGGGAGGGTAGCCTGTGACCGGGCGGCTACAAGCATGTGCACATGCCTGCGCTTATGCCTTAGACGGCGGCCCGATATGGGCCAGGTTCAGAAGCCGTTGTCCGCCCCCCCCCCCCCCCCTTGAAGAATCGACATTTCTACCTCACACTTGAAGGACTGAATGCCTGCCATCACATGTAAGAGTAGTTCACGATCGATACAGCCTTTGGTGTGTCCATCAACCGTCATGTCACGTGCATCACACCACTGCACACTACATACGAAACCTCTCTCTATCACCTGCCGCAACCAACTACTCTGGCCTCGTGTGTTCAGTGGGCTTCGAAGGGTCCTTACTCGATGCAAATTTGAGGGTGCATGTGGTAAATGGCGAACCGCTGGCTGCGGCAGCAGCCGGCGAATTCGCAGCTGGATCGGCTGATCGTGCGTTGCCATTTGCCTGGTCTAGGACCGTCGTAGATTCGCTCGGCCCCTGATCGCTACGAATGTTGCCCGATTCGGCGGACATGGCAGGTCCCAGCCGCCTTGCCACTGAAGATCCCCCGATGCTTCCAGGAGAGCGCCCAGCTAAGTGTCCATAGCTGCGCATCCGTTCCAATAGTTGACTGTACTGTTGTTGCGTTCGGGGCATATTGCTGTTGAGGAACTGTAAGAGATGGGATGCTCGATAGGTGCCGATTCCAAGAGCTCAGAACAACAAGAGCGTCGGGACCTGGAAGTTCGGGATGCCAAATCCTGCCGAGTCGGCTTCCAGCCTCGCGATTTTGAATCGGGCCAATACCGAAACGATACGTTCGCCCCGCTCGACCCTGAAATCGACGACGGCTGTGCCTGAGGTGAGCTGTCGCTAATCCTCAAAACTCTCGAATTTGGTGTTGCGGAAAACATGATGTACGCAACGCCGTCGGTACGTTGGCCGTGCCTCCCCGTTACATTCGTCCTATCGCTAAGCCAAGACACACCCATATGATGCCAAACAAGTGGAACCTTGATGCAATGAATGTTCACATCGGTTATAATGGTGTCGTGGTCGTCGCGTTTGCAAGCTGATGTCCGTCGGCCTGTCTTGAGTGTAAGCTGACGTGGCCGCCAGCCTTCGGATAGGCGTTGGGTGCGCGTTGGTATCTTGCGCCCGTCCGCGCTGTGGGTATATGGACTGATAGAGTTACCAAGTTGTTGATGGTGGGTAGGAGTGCCCTGGCTTAGAGGCGTGGCATACACGTGCAACCCGACTTGACCGTCGGTACATGTGCTGTCACGCGTAGGCCACTTTCCGGGCTCTGATCCCCAAAAGAAGCCGACGAGGAATACCAGTAGCAGGGTTAGAGCCAGCCACGTGAAGATGCGGCCAGCTCCGCTACCAAGTCGACAAGAGTATGGTAAACCGTGCCGCCTGCTACGCAATCGATGGCTTGTCCATGAAGTATGTGCGAGCGGTCCGTGACTCGGATGCAGTAGTGCCCCGAGTCTGGGGTAGTCACCTAGACCGACCTCGCTTGAGCCCACGCGGCGTGGGGACGCTCGTATCTCGCCTTTGGCCTCCGCTCCAAGTAAGGAGGCCAGTACTCGTTGCCAAGACCAGTGCACCATCAGGCAACGAAGCCAAGGCTTCATCATCATTCAGCATGTACACATGATTGGCTCCTGCAAATTGGCCACCGTGGAGGACTGACGGACTACGCAAATACAACTGCCTGAGGCACGGGCTGAAGGATTTTTACGGGGCCCACAACCTGGAGATCCAGACGCTCTGGGACGCTCTCGCGCGCTCTCGGGCGCTCCTGGGCGCTCTCGGGTCTTGTCACATGATTTGTTCGGAGCCCGAAGGGCACCAAGACAGCCCAAGAGGGCCCCAAGAGGCCCCCGAAACGGTCCACGAGGAACCCGAGACGCCGAACGATCGGTAGACGAGATGGCCTTCAGACGGCCGATGAGGCTCCGAGAAGGTCCCACGAAAGAGCCCCAAGAGCCCCCCCAAGAAGGTCCCGAGAGACCAAATTAACGCGTCCTGCCTCCATCTGTTGGATCTATGCGTTCTCGTGATTTTGCCCGTCCGACCGCCCGAGACGATCCATAAGGCACCCAAGATCGCCCCAGGGCGGCCCAAGGGAACCCCAAAAAGGCCCCAAGAGAGCCGTGAGACGGCCCCAAAGAGGGCCCGAGACGGCCCACGAGGACCCCAAGACCGCCGAAGAGGTCCCCCAAGGCGGTCCCCATGAGGGACCCGAGGGGCAAAGCCAAGGCGCCCTGTGGCCAAGTCCGAGAGGGAGACAGTCCACAGGGCTGAACCTAAACGGTGGTTTTCGTGTTCGCCTTGTGTTCGTTGTCCCTCGTTTTCTCTTCAATCCGCATTTAATGCAAAACGAAATCGAAACGAAAACGGCCCACGAAATCGCCAAAACACCGTTTAGGTCCACCCCTGACAGTCCACGAGGCCCCCGAGAGGGCCTCCGACCCAAACCCCAGCACCAGGAATAACCGCCCGCTGGGATCCATGTGATCCAAGTGGCACCGCTTGGGCAGCACCTGAATTATATAGCGCGCATCCAAGATGGAGGCATCCTAAAATATGCTGGAGGGTGATCCCACAAAACGCCAACGGGCGTCCAAAGCACCTCTGACCCATCACAGAGGCACCGTGGCGGGATTGGCAAAAGGCCACTAGATATGCAAGTGCGGAGCAATCAGTTGAACTGATGAATGGCATACGGCGAATATTGCCTAGAGCGAGGCACCGCAAACCCCAGTACGAAGAACTCAGAGTCCACCAACCACATTCCCTCATGTCGTCCGCCCCCCAACGAAACGTATGGCTCGTGCCTCCTGACATCAGTCTCGCAAATCGACCCAGCCTCCACATAGATCCGCCACTGACAACCTACCAGACCACCGCAACCCAACCTGCAGACCCGAATTTCGGGTTGGGGGGGGTAAGGGTTCCACATGTGTTTTGTTCGATGCTTCCCGACCCCCCCCGCCAATGGAAATCGAGGGTAAATCTGAGCCTTCGGGTTGGGTTGGGGTGGTTTGGTGGGTGGTGAGCCACCGTGCCGTGAGCACGTGGGCTTCGCGTAGGCGGCGGTGGCCGCTTGGACCCCCGTGGTTTCCAGCCACACCGGCCCTGCGTGATGCCGTCCCGGTGGCGGCTGGAACCTTACGGGCTCCTGCCCCACCGGCCCTGCGCGTTGCACTCTTCACTGGCTGCGTCGGGCTGGCTCGCCCCTGGCTTTCCACCCCACTGGGCCTGCGTGCTGCACTTCAGGGTGGCTGCTTGGACCCCCATGGATTCTCGCCTTGTTGGCACTGTGAGTGGCGGTTTTCGGTGGATCCTTTGATACCACATGGCTTCCCGACCGAATGACCCTGTGCTTCGCTTTTCGGCGGCTGCTTGGACCCCTGCGTCTTCGCGTGCGACACGCATGGGCTCCACCGACATTGAGATTCAAACACATGGGGTTCCAAACTTGTTACACCAACAAACAGGTTGGGGTCCGCACGCTGGCATCACATCTAGTCATCTCAATCCTACGGGTGATAAGGAGGCTGGGGGGGAATTGGCGAAGCTCTCGGTGTGCGATTGGCGCCAGATCGTGTTCGTGATCTATCGGTCTAACTACGATATCGATATCTGTACAGGTCTTGTTCCTGCCTGTGTACGTGCCTCGCCGCCCCGTACCTCCAAGAAAGCTATACGCATAGATGGCGCAAAGCAGGATCAATCGGGACAACCAATGGGACAACCTTCGGGATAACCATAGAGAAGAAAATCAGGACAACCATCCGGAAAACCATCAGGAAAACGCGCTGGATGACCGCGAAAGAACCAGGGGCAATCATGGGGACAACAATCGGGACAACCATCGGGAAAAACATCGGGGCAACCATCAGGCAAACCATCGGGACAACTTTCGGGACAACGAACGGGACAACCATCAAGACAGCATGGGGACATTCATCGGGATAATCATCGGGACAGCCTTCGGGACAGAAATCGAGACAGCCATCAGGACAACCATCAGGCCAACCATCAGGACAACCATCGGGACAACCATCTGGAAAAGCAGCGGGACTGCCGACGGCACAACCATCGGGCGAAAAAAATACGGTTTCAGCTCACGGCCGAAAGGAACCCATGCGTTTTGCAAGTCCAGCACCTGACGGGCGAAAAGGACCCATGCGAAAACGCACGCGGGGCAACCGCAGGACAACCGCGCGCACGCCCCAGAGACCGCGGGACAAGCCCGCGCACGCCCCGGCAGCCCGGGGGGGGGGGGCCGAAGGAAAGTGTCTGGGCCCAGCTGGGGCGCGCACGACACGAACCGAAACCGAAATCTACCTCCTGGTAAAGGGACTCCGTGTCAGTTCGGCCTCACCCTCCCAGTCTCGGGTCCAACTAAACACCGACCGATGTGGTTACATTACGCGCACCGACTTAGACTATCGAGATACCCAGATAGCTACCTCGGAATATGGACTGCTGCACGACAGAAAAAGATGCGAGGCGGGGATTGATCCATATCCACCGCCTGGGAACCGACGTTCTGGTGTCCCGGCGGGCGGTGGATATGGATATATTTTGGCCCCCGGGGGTCCGAATATATCCATATCCACCGCTCGTGGAGGTCCGCGAAGATTGACCCACCAGGCAGTGGTCGTGGATAGATTCCTGGGACACGCACGAGACTACCACGGGACAAAACCGCACGGGACAGCGGGACGAGACCGCGGGACGGGACAACCGCGCGGGGCCACCGCACCAGAGGACCGCGGGGCACGACACGCGCCGCCAGCCCGGAACATGCCCAGACTGGCAGAGCTTGTCGGCGGTGAGCGAGGGGGAGAAGTGGGAAGGGGCGGGCCTTCTCAGAAGGCCCGGAAGTCCCCCGGCTTTCTGATGAGTTTGCTGTGGGAACGAGACACGGCATACACATAAAAACTCGGAGGCCCGCGCGGATTTCTTGGATCCGCGCTGGACCCCCGGAGCGCGCCAGGGGCGGCGCCGGAGGCGCCGCCGAGGGGCGGGTACCCAGCGCCGACGCGAGAAATTCGCGCGAAAGTTTGAGTTTCTATGCTTCTGTCATTGTTGGGGCGGAAGTTCGCAGGAGGGGGCGGCAGCAGTCCCACAAGCCCCCTCGCCGTCGTGAGAAAGGCAAGCACGGCGTGAGTTGTCTGGTTGCTCTCTCCTCCTCCTCCTCCCCCTCCTCCTCCTCCTCCTCCTCCTCCTCCTCCTCCTCCTCCTCCTCCTCCTCCCTCCCTCCCTCCTACTCCTCCCTCCTCCTCCTGGCTCCTGGCTCCTCCTCCTCCTCCTCCTCCTCCTCCTTCTCCTCCTCCCGCCTCGTCCGCACGCATGGCACGAGCTTAACAGCAACCCAAGCAGACTCTTCCTGGTGGGTGGGTCACTCCGCTTCGTTTCAGTTGCACCCTCCGACCTCCAGCATCACCTTGTGAACGTTTTCTTATCGGGCGTTTCGACATTGGGCGGAAGGGGGAGGGGGTCTGCCTCTGGACCTCTGCTCAGCGCGACTGTTTGCGACAGTGCGTCCTATTGGGGAGACTCCTTCTGCTCGAAACCGCCAAAAACATCTAAGATCTACTCCAGGCGGGGGTGAGGGGGGGGTGCGAGGGCCCGCACCGATCGGCAAAACAGTGAATAAGAAAACAGCGACCTTCACTTACGGTAGCGCAGCCTGCCTGAGCGACATGGCGTGCCTTCGCCGCTTTCCTTCTGGTGGCAAATTTGCGTGCCTTGCACCGAACTCCATTACTGAAACTCACGCGTCACCTCACGATCATGGCTCGGGACGGAGCGAAGGTCTTAACAGCACAGCGAGCGCTGACAAGCCTTGGACATTTCGCCTCCAACGAAGCCGAAGGGGTCGGCATCACTCTTGTCCTCGCGTTGCGCACTTACACACATAAGCTTTTGGCTGCCCGCTACAGCATTCAACATGTCGCACGCTCAAGAGCAAGGCTCGAACGGATTTCTAGAAACTCGAACGTGCAAGCCATGACGAAGGATCACGACCACAGACAGAATACCAGACGTGTCCAGCTAGCATTTGCATGTTGGACCCATTGCCTGAAACCGCCCCTAATAGCAAGAGCCGCCGAAAGACCGTGGTACGAAAATCCTCTCCGACTCCCTCTTCCTCGCCTCGTCACAGTTTCATCTCGAATGCTCCACCAGTTCCTCCACCATCACCCCTCCAGTTAAGAATCGCTGATCGGTTATCCTCGGAGGCCTGTGAATCCGAGCCCAGCAAGCATCTCACAACCTCGAAAGCAGCGACAGGATTTATAATCACTCCTGTGTCGTTGTTGCTCTTGATGTTGCTCTTGTTGTTGCTGTCGCTGTTGTTGTTGAAGCTGTTGATGTTGTTGTTGATGTTGTTGTGATGCTGTTGTTGTTGTTGCTGTTATGATTTGGTGTTGCTGAATGTTCATCACTAAACAATTATTATTGTTGGACCCCCCCCCCCAAGCGCTTTGATGCTCGCGCCCCGGCGCCGGCTACATTTTCATTGTAAATGAGGCTCACGCTCGAGCGGTTGGGGGGGCGCCAAAACCGGCCCCCAAACAACAACAACAACAACAACAACAACAACAACAACAACCACAACCACAACAACAACAACAACAACAACAGCAGCAACAACAACAACAACAACAACAACAACAACAACAACAACAACAACAACAAAAACAACAACAGTAGCAGCAACAACAACAACAAAAACAACTAAAATTAGCAACAACAACAACAAGAACAACAACAACAACAACAACAACAACAACAACACAACAACAACATGAACGACAACAACAACAACAACAACAACAACAACAACAACAACAACAACAACAACCACAACAACAACACCAATTACTAGCACGTGGGGACACTCCGTTCTCACCAGTGCCAGGGTTTTCTTAGGAGGCGGGCAATACCCCCACTTTGTGGGGGGGCCGGTTCAAGCTCTACCAAATTTCCAAACGACTCTTCGCCACCACCCACACCCAGCTTCCCGCCCTATGACGTTCGGACACTTCACTTCGTGGCATGCGGACGACCGTGGCTACTATTCAGGGCCCCGCGGCCGACGACGACGGCGTGCGCGCGCGAAGAAAAAACGAATGTGTCCCGCATGGTATTATTTGACAGGGATGATGGCCCTGGCAGGTGCGCAACCGTTGTTGCAGAAGTTCGAAAAAGTTGCTCGCAAAAGCCCGTTTGACAGAAATGATTAAAAAGTGTTGGGTTTCCTACGAATCCGCAAGAGCGCGCGGGATGAAATTTTGACAATTTTTTTTTGAAAAACCATTGGTTTTTTGATGTTTTTATGTTAAAATCGCTACGAACACTAAGGTTTTGGAAGGATTTCGTCTTGCGCGCGCGAATGTCCACTTTACCTTATTTTTTGCAAGGGATTCTTGAAATTTGATTATATTAGAACAAGAAATGTCATTTTATAGTGTTTTTTGCAAGGGAAAACGGATTACAACAAAACAACCGGATCTGGATCACATCGTTTTACCTGAGGCTTCCTCACGAAAATGATGAAAATGTGGCTGCGGCCTAGGCGCGGCGCAGGGGGGCGTGCACCAGGGGCCCACAATAATTATTCTTTAGAAGTAATAATATTCAACAACATCACCAATAATAATAATAACTCTAAGACGGTTCGCCCTTATATGCTCCGAGTGTCCAACAACGCGTATTTTCCAAACCCTCGATACCCGCCCTTTCGTCTTCGATCGAACCCCTTTTGGGGGGTATACCTTTCTTCCCTGCAGGCCGGGCCCCGGCAAGCGGCGGGGCGCGGCGGGGCGGCCGCGGACCGTCGGCCTGGCCAGCGGCAGCGCTGATCGGCGGGGCGGCCGCGGACCGTCGACCCGACCCCAAGAGGGACGGACAGGGGACCGACGACGACGACGACGACGTCGAAGACGACGGCGACGACGACGGCGACGCTGAGGACCGTGCTGTTCCTCGTCGCCGACAGCCCCCGTCCCGACAAAACCAGCGCTACCGCTCGATACTTCCTCCCTTCTTACTCAAGGCGGTGTTCCTCCTCGCCGCCGACAACCGCCGTCCCAACAAAACCAGCACTCCCGCTCGAAACTTTGTTTTGGTCTACGCTGGACTAGCACCCTACTCTCTGCAGCATTGGTGCCGCTCCCAGCAACAACAGCGGCCCTGCTCGAGACTCCAGGTCCTTGCCTCGCCACCGACAGCACCCATCCCCTCCCCACCAAGGCAATCCTGTCGCTCGATACTTCCTTGTACTTTACCCTTGGCTGGGGCTCCACAGGCGGTCTCGCATCGGCGCAGCAAGGCGCGGGCATGCGTTTTCGAGGCAGGATATGTTGAAAATCCTCGGAGGAGGTGTTTGCGAGAACTCATTGGGCAGGAGATCTGGGAATGGGAATAACGGACCTCGCTATAGAACAAGAATCCCCCATGATGGGGATGGTTATCATGATGGTCGCATGTTTCGTGTGGAAACATCGCGCATGAGGGTAAAATGATTGTTGACGCTGGATTCGCGTCCCCGAGGCCACGATCCCTTGCAAATCGCACCACCTTCGCGTCCCCGAAACCACGATCCCTCGTAGCATACGCCAGGTTCGCGCCCCCGAGGACACGATCTCCAGTAAATTACACTACATTTGCGCCTCTGGAGCCACGATGCCATGTAAATGTTGCCACAAAAGGGTCCCCGAGGCCACGATCCTCTGTAAATTACTCAATGTTCGCGTCCCCAAGGCCATTAACCCTCAAAAAAAGCAATGTCTGCGTCCCCGAAGCAACAAGCCCTCGTGAATTTGCTATATTCGCGTCCCCGAGGCCATTTACCTTTGCAAAGTATGCAATTGTTGCGCCCCCGAGGCAACAAACCCTCGTAAATTAATTGCTCAAGTTTTGTGCCCCCAAGACAACAAGCCCTGGTGAATTTCGCAATAGTCGCGTCCGCATTGCAAATTACTAAATGTTCGCGTCCCAGGAGGAGGAGGACGAGCGATCTCCGCCCCCTGAGGAGGGGAGCAGGGGGGGGAGGGGGGGGGGAGAAGGGGAAGGAGGAAGATCAGGAGGAGGAAGATCAGGAGGAGGAGGAGGAGGGGGTGCAGGAGGTGCAGGAAGAGGAGGAGGGAGAGGCGGAAGGGGGGGAGGAGGAAGAGGAGGACGAGGAGGAGGAGGGAGGGAGAAGAGGAACAAGGGCGGTGGGGGAGGACGAGAGAGGAGGAGAAGGGCATCGAACGATCTCCGCCCCCTCGCGCGATGTCCCCCCTATGCGCCGCTGATGGCACCACAATCCCGACACGCCACGCGATGCCGCCCCTCGTCGTCCTCCTCCTCCTCTTCCTCCTCCTCCTCCTCCTCCACCTCCTACAACTGTTCCCCCTCCTCCTGCTCCTCCTCTTGTTCCTCCTCCTGCAGCTTATCCTCTCGCCCCATCCTCATGCATCCCCTCCTCTTCATCCTGGATGTCCTCCTTCTCCTCCTCCTCCTCCTCATCCTCCTCCTCCTTCTCCTCTTCCTTTTCCCCCCTCCTCCAGAGCGATCTCCGCGCCCCCACCTGGAGTTTCCCTGGAGGATCTCGGCCCCACTTTCGATACCGATTTCGCGCCGTGGGCTCGTCCCTGAAGCCCCCAGGGTCCGAGGCGACCCCTCCTCCCTCCTCCTCGGTTATGTGGGTTATGTGACTGGGTGGGTGGGTGGGGTCGCTGGCACATAACAGAACACACCCGCGTTCTGCTGATCGGTTGGTTGTAACCCGCATGATGATGCAGCAATTTTGGGCGCACAACATCGCGCGTGTACACCACAGCGCATGGCGCATGGTTACGGTCAGGTATCTATGTATAGCGTGTATCGCTTTCTGGGGCAGAGTTTCGACGCTAGGTTCCACGTTAAGTGAAAGCTGAAACAAATCTTGAAAACGGGAGGCGGGGTCCCCCAACTGATTGTACACATAAGCGTTCCATGAAATTCTCATCAAGCCTAGCGCTATTACGAATAGTACGAGTACGAGAACGACTACGACTACGACGACGACAACGACGAATACGACGACGACGATGGCTACTACGACGACGACCACACTACTACTACTACTACTACTACTACTACTACTACTACTACTACTACTACTACTACTACTACTACTACTACTACTACTACTACTACTACTACTACTACTACTACTACTACTACTACCACTACTAAGATATGTCAGGATGTCTCACGCGATGTGGGCAATTCTACAAAGAAACGTGAGGATGTCTTCGGCGATGTGGCCAACTCTTTAAGAAATACAAGGGTGTCTCAAGCGATTTGGCCAATTCTGCAAAGACATGTCAGGACGTCTCAAGCGATTTGGCCGATTCTATAAAGACACGTCAGGTTGTCTCAGGCGATTTAATCAATTCTATAAGAAATGCGAGGATGTCTCAAGCGATTTTGTCAATTTTATATAACAAAGGAGGTCTGAGCGTTTGGGCAAATTCTATAAAGAAATGTGAGGATGTCTCAGGCGATTTCGCAAATTCTACTTCAGGCGATTTCGCAAATTCTACTCAGAAATGTGAGCAGTCTCAGGCGATCTGGTCAATTCTATAAGAAATGTAAGGATGTCTGAAGCTATTTGGTCAATTCTATAAGAAACGTACGGATGTCTCACGCGATTTGGGCAATTCTACAAAGAAATGTGAGGATGTCTTAGGCGATTTGGCTAACTCTTTGAAGAAATTTGAGGATGTCTGAGGCGATTTGGCCAATTCTCCTCCTCGGGCGCGGGGAATGTAATCGTTTCGCCGAATGGGGGGGGATTCTTAAGTGCTTCCTCGAGTTACACGAAATATTTCGTGCGAAAAATGAAAAAAAATTAAAAA